ATTTGGCATTTATTCTGATGCCACGGTCATTAATACGAGCGGAGAGAGACTATCGGTTTTTATGGCGACCCCACCATCACCATGGCCGGTGCTTGAGTTCTGGTGGCCAACTGAAGGTGTACATTTTCAGAGGAGCACCTTGGCAAGTAAACACGATCATTTTGTTTGTTTACCAACTGCTGGACAACGAATTTTTTCTCATCGGAGATCGGAGAAAGCCAAATTCGGCAGTCCACCACTTTCGGCCAAGCGAAGCAACTCTTTAGCTCTTTTGAGTCTATTTTCTTTCTGTAGCGGTGTAAGTTCTTACACTTTGTGGAATTTCTATGGCTTTACCCCCAGCTCATTTTTCAATATTTGCCGAATGGAATATTGCGATATGTTCAGTTCACGAGCCATTTTTCGGCCACTGCGACGCGTGGTTCTATCAAGTCACTTCTTTACTTTTCGAAACATCTCTGCTGATGTTGCTTCTGTCCACTTCCTTGACGTCGGGCAACGCTACCAGTATTACGGGTGATGGTACGAGACACAAAAGATTTGTTTACATTTAAATGCTGGTGTGCTCTAACGATGGCCACTTGTGGTTTTCCAGCCAAATATAAAGAAATTCTCAGCAAAATGCTTCTGTACGCTTGTAAAGAATATAAAGAGCTGCCATTGAAATAATTTTAACAGCTGTCGGACGAGTGGCTTAGAAATGACAGCAGTCTGAAGTTGGTTTCAGTTTTTTCATCTCACCCTGTATCGTCACCTTTCAGACTAAAACTGATCAATGTTTATCTTGATTTCGGTGTGAAAATACAACTCTGTTGCCACTTGCAGCTGACACAAGTGTTGTATTTTCACGTTTAGCCCAAAATGCCAACAGTGTTGTATTTTCCCTCCGAAATTAAAATTTAAGCTTTGATCTGTTCCAAACTTTAGATCTTGTACCTATCTCTTTTAAGGTTATTCCGAGTCTATGGTCTTAAATAAAATATTCCTATACCTATTGGCCCTCTTCGACCTAAATTAGATTCACAGAAAAATGAGAAAGAGTGGAGGTAAATGTCACGTTTTTCTCACCCTTCTCTCCCAAAAACTCTTTTTCTTTCATAAAACAAAAAATCCTATACAAAGTTGCTCTTTAAAAGATTATTTTTTTCACCACTTTTTTCAATTATTGTTATTGTAGAGTGTTGTAAATCACGCGAATTTTCCTTTTTCTTTCTTTCTTTTTTTTAACTTTTACCATTTGACTCAATTGGCCGCAACAAATTGTTTGTAATTTCAAATAATTTGACTTTGCCTTAAATGCCAAAGTATTTTCTTCGTTTCGTTGTATTTTTTCAATTTTTCAGCCAATCAACGATGCAATTACTTTGAGCAGCGAAAAAAAACTCCAAATGAAAATGAAACATTTAATGGCTTTAAATACTTAAAGACCCTTGACAAGGTACGGTTTCCCTTTCTTTTTCATGTTCCTTTCCCACCGAAAAAGGAGAATGCCTAAAATAGAATGAAAACAGCAATCGTTTCAACTTGAGTAGAAAATCGCTCTACTATTTGTTTAGGATTGTATTTGCGGCCACAGTTGAATTGAATTGCTGTAGGGACAGGATCCTTTAATTAAAACGGCTACCAAGAAAAAGTAAAGTCTTTAAGAAATTGTCCAAAATGACTAACTTAAAATAGCCATGTTTTTTTACTTGGCTTGTGTGGTTTTTGTGAATCTTTCAAATGAAATGATGCGTTGTTACAACAATGGGAAAATCTCCTCTCTCAGACACACAAACACACTCTCACACAGTCATAAAAAGCACAATTAACCAAACAACGTCAACTAAAGCCTGAAAATATGCCTCGTTTCCTTTATGGACGCGCATTTATTCTCATATCCCAGCCAGCCAGCCAGAAATCCAGTCAAACAGACAGACAGGCTGGCAGACGGACAAACAAACGGACAATGCGTGCAAACGAATTAATCGCTTGATGTTTCATGCTGCTTTATCACATATCATCATTACTCACACACACACAAAGACATGCAAACATGGGCAGAGAAAAGGCCACAAAAGACCATTATGACCATGCGTTTTTCTCTTTCGTTGTGTTGTTCTTGTTGTTTATATTTGTTCATTATTGTTTTATGTGTTCATGGTTGTTGTTGCTGTTCTTTTTTTCTGTTCTGCCTATGATATGCAAAACGGATGTGGATGTAAATTTGCTTAACCGCCATTTTTGTTCTCCTGCTCTCCTTGTTGTTGTTGTTGATGGTGTAATTGCTGATGGTGTGTTTTTGTTGTTGTCGTTGCTGCTGCTGTATTGTGTGTCAGTGTTTTTGGTTTGTTGTTACAACATGAAAAGACATCGTCGACACCACAAAGTGTATGAAGCGTTTTTATTATCAAATTGTGGCAATTTGTTTACTGTTTCTGGTTTGAATCTGAGTGTGAGTGTGTGTGTGTGTGCGAGCCTGTAGGAACTGCTGTATCCGTCCACACCCATAAACATTTAATTAAATTTATGGATGTAGAGGGAGATATATAGCCAATATTCGGGTGGACAAAAAGGTGATATTTTAAAATTGCATATGAAATAAGAGGATTTAAATAAAGAACTTAAACCATGGTTACCCCTTGTCCTGATGGAATAAATAAAAATGTCTACATTTTCTTTACTCTTAAGGAACTAGTTCCTTCATTTAGATCATTACTCATTTTCGGTTCTGTTGTTACTTTAAGATAACTATTTGAACTTAAGCAACTAGATGAACAAAAGAGTCGGTCATAGTTCCAATGGTTCCTTTTGCGAAATAGTTCCTGTGTGCCAGTTCCTCCCAGAACAACACGGCCACTTAGTTCCACTTTTTTAATTTAGACATCATTATATTGCCGATCCACCCCATTAAACAAACAAATTTTCCTTGCAATGCCTTCGCGTAGGGAAATCACAAACTACGATTTGCTGTGTAAATCTTTTATTAATCCTTGGTTTGCTTTTTACTTTCTCTCAGCCACCACATCCTTTCAAACCGGTTTATACCATATAACCACTCGCCTTGGTTAATTTACTCCAACTGTGCAACATCCTGCTGTTTGTTTGTCTACTCCTACCCGTTGAACCAATGTTTGCACAGAATTTCCCATCACTGTTTCATGATTTTTTTGTGGTAAATGTCTGCAAGCGGCGTTCTAAAGATAACAATTTTTTGGACAATTTACTGTTTAACCGGTAAGCATCCCTAATTAAAATTAATGAGCAGTTACATTGGCCCCAAAACAACTACAAGTGGGTGGAAGAGTGGGGTATTCTTGAATTCAGCATAAATCGAGTTCATTAACCTTAGTCACAAAAGTTTACATTGTAATACAAGAAAGGGATACCTTTTTTAGCATTCATTTTCTATACAGCTTTAGCTTTAAAGAACTTAAATATGAAGAAAATGTAACAGAAATCGTTAAGATTGGGGATAATACCAAATTGGAGTTCGCACGGGATTCCATTTTATGTCAAAGGAATAATTGTAGTGTGTAGTTTTTAATTTATTATCTCATTCATTTCCTTTTTCAAGTATTTACACTTTTAAGGGTTGAAATAAAAATAATCCTAATTTAATGTCGATAACTGCAGCTAATTTCTTAAACCTGTATTTTATTACATAAATGAACGGCGCTTTCATCTTCCTGGATCAATTTTAAAACATAAATTCCAAAATTTAGTTTAATTCTAACGCATCCTACAAGGTTTGTCGATAATAATACACAAGATAAATATAATATCGGTAGTACCGTGTCCCAGTCGGTAAATAAGTATTCTCATATGGCAACACTTTTTACCCTCATTTATCGACTATCTCACATGGACCGCTTCTCAATAAAGCTGGCCATCTCTTTTTCTCAGTTCTGCCATACGACGACTTAGTACTTTTTAATTCTAGATTCTTTTTGAGAACACTAACAAGTATTTTTTAAGAAAATATTAATTATTTTAGTTGAAAACTTTTTATACATATTTTTCTAATGAAAAACGAATAATAAACATCAGCACAAGTAGGCGCGTGTGTAATTAAACAAAGTTTGTGTAAGTTTTCAAGTGGGGATTGATTGGTGAAGAAAAAATAATTTTCTTTGATGTGTGTATGCGTATGTGTGTGTTTCTACAACTTACAACTGTGCCTGCCAGCCTGCCTGTCCATACAACAAAGTATCTTTTCCCATTTGTAAGATGGGATCTTTTTTGTATTCTGCCAAATATTATATTTTGTTAATTGATATGGAGATGTGATCCATTTGTGTGTATCGTAATTAATTGATGTTGTTCAGTTTGTGTGAGAGTGTGTAGCGCCGCCAATAAAACCTTAAGTTTTTTGTGTTTGTGGCCAATAATTGGTTTCTTATTTCATTGTGTGGAAAGAATTTTTTACTTGTAAATGATGAAATTGGATACTTGTGTGCAGAGCAGGTAAAAAAGACAAAAGATTATCGGAGCCAAATGTGTTACAAAATTTGCCAATGATTCATTATTAAAATAAATGAAAGAAAGAATAAAAACTGAAATTAAATTCATATCAGTAAACCGCTCCCAATATGAATTTCGCATTATTTGCTTATAAACAATTTCAATATTGATAATTATACATGCAGATGTAAACAAACCTGCTAGTGAGAAGAGTACAAAGTCATAATAGAAAAATGAACGGACAAACGCTGTCAATTGTTATAAGTGATATAAACCTGTTATAACTTGCAAACAAACGAAAAAAGCTATTGCTAGAAGCAATACAATACATATTTAAATTTTTCTTAACAAAAAAATTAATTTTATTTATTACTCCAATAAAAAAAAAGTAAATGTAAATAAAACTTTTGCCGGCGTCAATAACATAACATCAGCCAACAAAGTCTCTCTTCTCTCCCACAGTGGTTACTTCATTTTCTAATAGGTTACTTATTCGGTTACTCTCATCTCTCTCACTATCCCCCTTTACGCTAAGGCAAACACACACGCACACACTCTCTGGTCGTTTAGAGAACAAGTTACACACACAAAGTGAGAAGGAAACAATTCGTGGTGCAAATAAGAGAAATATTTTTTAATTTATATTAATAAAAAACAAAACAATAGTATTAACAACAATTCAATTCGGCAAATACACACAAACATAAACAAAATGCACAGCGATAAATACAAGTGGTAATTGAAAGTGTGTGCAAAGAATTTGCTCCTGTAAAAAGTTGTTCAATGTTCTCGTTTGTGGTGCTCGCAGTCAGTCAGTTCAATTTATGTGTACATATTTTATTTTTAGATGATGTGTGATGTGACTCCAAAAGAAGTTTGTCTGCATCCCCATCGACCAACATCATCATCAACATCAGCAACAACAAAAGCAGCAGCAGCAGCATCATCGTAAGCTTTGGATTCGACATCGCAACATACAACATAACATGATGGTGGCCGTCCATCCCAATGTGTCACATTTGAATAACACAAATACACACTTCGGCAGCAGGAAGAATTCATCTTCACCAGTAGCAGCAGCGTCCGTCAAGAACGAACACAATGCCATCAAAAGACATCATCGCAAGCGAAAACGAAAATCGCTTCCCATCCGTTTATTACTCTATGCCGTTTGCCTGCTGTGCCTGAGGCCATTCCAGCATGCAATTGGGGTGGTGGGTGCAGCTAGCCCCTCATCATCTGCATCGACATCAGCTTTGTCGAAGAGCTCAAACTCGAATACAACAAATACTCAACAAAATCAACAACAGTATTCTCATGCGGATATTGTGGCGCAGTTCACATTGCCGCAAGCAACAACGAATAATTTTCATTCAATGACCCAGTCTCCAACGGCAGCCACCAACTTTAAGAATGCCACACTGGCTTCGACTCCGGCCACGAAGGGCGCCTCGAAGAATTACTTCACCCACTTGGCCTACGATACAAAGCAGAATGTCTTCTATGCCGGAGCCACAAATAAAATTCTCCAACTCAATGAAAATCTGAGGGTTCTCAAGCAGGCCGTCACCGGCCCTCAGCGTGACTCTCCCCAGTGCCACGCCAGTGGTTGTTCAGAAGACGTTGAGACGTCATTGGTGAATAATCATAACAAAATACTTATTGTCAGTTACGCCCAAGGCGGTATATTGATTGCCTGTGGCAGTGTAAGACAAGGAGCCTGTGATATTTACAATTTAAATCATTTCCCCAACAATCCACGATTCATCGATATTCCCCTGGCAGCCAATGATGAATTTGCCTCCACATACGCCTTCATAGGTCCCTCAGAATACTCCTGGAAGAAGGAGGACATTTTGTATGTTGGCACCACGTTCACCAATGTAGGTGACTATCGGCACGATGTGCCAGCCATTTCGTCGCGACGACTGGCCGATTTGAACTACGCCGAATTCGAGATAAAACAGTCGATCATCAACATAGAAGTCAAGTATCGGGATCACTTTTTGGTCAATTATATTTATGGGTTCAACTCATCGGAGTATGTTTATTTTGCCATTGTACAGAAGCGCTCACACCTGGCGGAGGAGGCGGGATATGTGACGCGTTTGGCACGCATTTGTATAACAGACTCCAACTACGACAGCTACACAGAAATAACCATCCAATGTTTGGCTACACAGGACAATGAGGATTACAATATTCTACGGGATGCCAAGATAACGGCGGCTGGACAGAAATTGGCCCAGCAGATGGGCATCAAACGCGGTGATCACGTTTTAGTGGCTGCATTCTCACCCTCAAAAGACATAACAAATCAGCCTGATGACAGATCAGCATTGTGCATTTATAGTTTAAAGGAAATCGAGGAAGCATTTAATGAAAACATCCACCTCTGCTTTAATGGTACTGTTAAGGATCGAAATCTGGGCTACATCTCGGGTACCATAGACGATGGGCGATGCCCAAGAGCTTCGGGCAATGTATACAGTTTTTGCAACGTTGGGCTAAAGATAAGCGGTGTTGCACCCATAGCTGCTCATGCCCTATTCCATTTCGACAATGTCTCCGTAACATCTGTATCGACAACCACAACAGGTCCCCATTCTTTGGCATTTTTGGGTACAGAAGACGGCTCAATAAAGAAGGTATTACTGTCGGGAAACCATCCCGGAGAATATGATGAAATTATGGTGGATCCTGGCAATCGTATCTTACAAGATACCATACTCTCGCCCAACAAGGATTTCATCTATGTCTTGTCCAAGAATAAGGTGACAAAAATGCGCATGGAGCACTGTTCACAGTACACAAATTGTACATCTTGTTTAGAGTCGAGAGATCCATTCTGTGGTTGGTGTTCTTTGGAAAAACATTGTACGGTGAGGTCGACTTGTCAGAAGGATACCTCCGCAGAACGTTGGCTCTCCCTGGGTAGTGGGCAGCAATGCATAGACTTTGAGTCCATATTGCCAGACAAAATACCAATAACGGAGGTAATTCAGGTCCAGTTGGTGATCCGAACTCTGCCAGAACACTACAGTGGTAAATACCGATGTGTTTTCGGTAATTCTACACCCATTGATGCCGAGGTATTGGAGAATGGCTTGGCTTGTATGACACCGCCACCAGAAGAACGCCCATTAATACCTCCAAACATGGATCATGTCTCAGTGCCATTGTCAGTGCGAAGCTCGGAGACAAATAAAGATTTCGTTTCCAGGTCATTCACCTTTTTCGATTGTACGCGCCACAACACCTGCCAGACTTGCGTCCATAGTCCGTGGGATTGTAATTGGTGCATCTATGACAACAAGTGCATGCACAAAATGCAGAAGTGTCGCAGTCTAGAAAAGGTTATAACCAGGGAGAACGAATGTCCCCACATGCGTCGTCTGCGAGAACCGATCCTGCTGCCGGTAAAAGTACCCAAGGAAATACGTTTTGAAATCGAGAACTTGCCCAAGCCGAAGAATGCCGCCTTTGGCTTCCTGTGCACAGTACAAATAGAGGCGGCCCAGATGATGTTGCCGGCACGCATTGAATCCAATCGGATTGTGGTGTGCGAGAAGACGCCCTACTTCTATGAGGCCAACACAATCGAATATCAAGCCCGAGTTGATATCACCTGGAACAGACAACATTACATAGATACTGCCTATGTAACGCTCTACAAATGTGATGTACTGGGTTCACATCGGGAACACGCCGACTGCAGCTTGTGCGTGACCAGAGATCCCAAATATCAGTGTACCTGGTGTGGTAATACCTGTGCCTACAATGAGACCTGTCCCCCATCCTCGCTAGACCATGATTCCAGTTCATCGGCCACCTCGACATTATCGTCTCTCCTGACCTCACCCAGTCATGGTTTGGGCTATCACAAGTTCACAGATTGTCCAAAACCACGAATCGACATGATCAAGCCTTTGTTTGGACCCATAGAGGGCGGAACACTCATCACAATAGAAGGCAGTAATTTGGGTATACGAGAAGAAGATGTCAGAGGCAAAATATCCATAGGATCTGTCCCCTGTGAGTTGGTCAATTATGAAATCTCCGTTAAAATTGAGTGCCGCACAGGAGCGGTAAGCCATGAATTGACGGCGCCGGTGAAGGTATTCAACGAAGCCGGGTTCACCGAATCAAGTGTGCAGTTCCAATTCAAAGATATACAGTTGACAGGCTTGACGCCGACCAGAGGCCCCAAGTCTGGTGGCACGCAGATTTCCCTTATTGGAAAGTATTTGAACATAGGCTCGAATATAAAGGCTTACTTGGATGAGTATGAATGTCATATTAACATTACACAAGTGTCCTCGTCCCGCCTAACTTGCATTACCTCCGAAGCGACACAACCAGAACCCATACGCATGTTACGTCTCATTGTTGATGGGGCAAATCGAACCTATACTTGCCAGAATCCACCTCACCACCAGCAACAGCCACAAAGGCAACCATTTAGTTCGGTGTACGATTCATTCCACAACAACTACAATTATTTATTGCCCTCATTGACCAGGCCCTGTTCCATCTTTAATTACACTCAGGATCCAACTATTATGGAGATAAAGCCACTGATTAGCTTCGCTGGTGGCGGCCGTCTTCTAACCGTCCACGGCATGTATTTGGATTCCATACAGAAGCCGGAACTGGAGGTTTACTATGAAAATGAACGACTAAACAAAACATCCTGTGTGGTAATAAACTCCAGTCAAATGGAATGTCCCTCGCCGGCTGTGTCCAAACAATTTCTTGAGTACAAACTTATGCTGGAGCAGCAAAGAGACCAAGACTACAATCAGGCCCCAGCAGCTGCATCGTCCACATCAACAGGATATCATTTGATACGAAAACGAAACAACTATCCGTTTGGCAGCGATACTTCAGACATCTACAGCACCATTAGCACCAACAGTCGTTATCACGAAAGTAAACTGTATCAAGCGCAGGATGTTGCCGCGTTCGTCAAGATAAGAGAGACGCAGCTAAATCTGCAGTTGGGTTTCAACATGGATAATGTGCAGTGTGTTCGCGATCTGAGTAAATATTTCCCCAGTTTACGTAGCACCATTGTTTACTTCCAAGATCCCAAGTACCATGCATTCCCCGATAATTTGAAGCTCTACAAAGGCGATACATTGGTGATCGAAGGAGAGTTGCTGAATATTGCAGCCGATGAATCGGATGTGAATGTCACCATAGGCACCGCCCAATGCAACATAACCAGTCTGACAATGACGCAGCTGCTGTGTACGCCACCAGAGAAACAACCTGCCGGCACTGATGAGAACAATGTGGCTCAATCCAATGACTTGCCATTGGTGGTGGTGACCGTCGGACGCAACCTACGCTTTGTCATAGGACACATCAAATACGATATACTTAAGCCCTTTACCTTTTCGCATGCCATGTGGGTGATCATCTTCACCATTCTAATTGTACTTATTTTGCTGATCGCAGCCTTCTTTATATACCGTCGTAAATCCACTCAGGCCGAGCGGGAGTATAAACGCATACAAATCCAAATGATAACGCTGGAGAGCAATGTACGCTCCGAATGCAAGCAGGCATTTGCTGAACTGCAAACTGATATGAGCGACCTCACTGCCGATCTGGAGACCACCGGTATACCCACTCTGGATCACGTCAATTACATTATGAAGGTCTTCTTCCCCGGTGTCACCGATCATCCGATACTCAACTCGCCCAAAATGCGTATGAACAACTTCCATACGAACTATGACACTGCCATGATTCAATTCGAACAACTGATTAGCAATAAGTATTTTGTACTGACCTTCATCGAGACACTGGAAGCCCAGAAGTCGTTCAACATACGCGATAAGGTGAACGTGGCCTCGTTGCTGATGATTGTGTTGATGAACAAAATGGAATATGCCACGGAAATCCTTAAATGTCTGCTGCTACGGCTGGTGGACAAGTCGGTGTGCAACAAATATCCCCAACTGATGTTGCGCCGCACCGAGAGTGTGGTGGAGAAGATGCTTACCAACTTTATGGCCATTTGCATGTATGACTACTTGAAGGAATACGCCGGCTCGAGTCTCTTCTTGCTCTTCAAGGCCATAAAACATCAAATCGAAAAAGGTCTGGTGGATGCCATCACACATGATGCCCGTTATTCGCTGTCCAAGGAGAAGCTGCTGCACGAACAAATACCACACAATGTGGTGGTACTTAACATCATTCAGGATGATTTGGACGAGAAGGTGCAATGCAAGGTACTCGACTGGGACACAATAACCCAGGTGAAATCGAAAATCTTGGATGCCCTCTTCAAAAATACACCCTTCTCGATGAGACCCTCCGTGCACGAGGTGGATTTGGAATGGCGTCATGGCCGTGATGGCCACCTGATATTGCAAGATGAAGACCTAACAACGAAAACCATTAATGGCTGGAAGCGGTTGAACACCCTGGCGCACTATGGCGTCAAAGAATCGGCCGTGATGAGTTTAGTGGCTCGCCAAAATGATTGCAACAACATGGCCTATGGCAAACAGTATCAGCCGCCCTACAACAATTTCTACTTCATCAACAATTCACAGTCCCACATTATCATGAACAATGATATTGAGTCGGGCCTTCAACAGCCGCGCGTCTATCACTTAGTTAAGCCCCTGCTGCCCGATCATTATATGAATATCAAAAACTCCGCCATATCGGGTGGCAATGGCTCGGCCAATGGAGAGCCCATACACAAGACAATACCCGAGGTCTATTTGACCCGTCTGTTGGCAGCTAAAGGCACAGTACAAAAGTTTGTGGACGATTTCTTTGCCACCATTCTGACAGTTAACGAAGAACTGCCGCCGGCAGTGAAGTGGTTATTCGATTTGCTGGATGAGGCGGCGCGCCGTCACGACATCTACGATCCGGACATTGTGCATGCCTGGAAATCGAATAGTCTGCCATTGCGGTTTTGGGTTAATTTCATCAAAAACCCCGATTTCATATTCGATGTAAATAAAACCGTAACCGTAGATGCGAGTCTCAGCGGCATTGCGCAGGCCTTTATGGATGCCTGCTCCACCACGGAACATCGTCTGGGCAAGGATTCACCCTCCAATAAATTATTATTTGCTAAGGATATACCACAGTATCGGAAAATGGTCAAGCAGTTTTACAGCGACGTGGCTCGCCTGCCGCAAATCAGCGACATGGAAATGAGCGCCGCCATGCATCATCTGTCCATACAGCAGAACGATGAGTTTGACACCATAGCGGCGCTCAAGGAACTGTACATATACGTTACCAAATATAATGAACAGATAACGGATGCCTTAGAAAATGATATTAATTGTAAGAAAATGTATCTGGCCCACAAACTGAAGAATGTTGCATTTACCCTGGATGGTGATGAGACATCAGCTTGCTGACACTCGCTGGAGGATACGGACTTGATATTAAATAAATTATGGAATGTAAGTTCATGGAGAATGCAATTGATATTTTAAATATGGAGTAATCATTTTTGTATTTTAGGTGATGTGACTTTCCAAAATCCCAAGCATTTGATGTTCAATGTATGCAATGGATGGGAGAACCGGAAGAAGGGAAAAACATAATAATGTATGAGAAGAAGGAGCAAGGAGCAGGAGTATAGTGCGAGTCAGCATGAATTTTACAAAATGAATCTTAAAACAAAAATGAAAAAAGTCGAAGTTGAATAAGATTAAGAGAAAGAAACACACAAAACAAAACAAAAAACAATTGAAACATAAAACAAGCCATTATGTATTTACAGTAGTCGACTTCCTATGAATATTTTAGGAAATACACAACAACAACAAAAAAACACACACACAAACAAACACAAAAACAAAATTACATTTATTTTTTCAGTTCGCCAAACTTATAGACTGCATAAAATGACTTTTCAAATAAAAATGTATTTGTGCAATTGATTTTTGGTATGATTACTGCTGCCGATGGTGTTTCTTTATGTGGAAGATGGACGGTAGAGTATTGAAGAACAACTTGGGGAATATTTCAAATAATTAAATACATTTTTATGAATGTTGGAAAACAAGTAAATGCTAACACGGTTCTAAGTATTGGATATTTTGCAAGAATTGCTAAACTGTAGGAATTTTATGTGCGACAAAAGTCAAGGTAAGGTATTAAGTATTTACATAAATGCCTTTAAAGTCTTATGAACATATTAACTTTTTCTGTTTTCCATTAGAGAGAAATCCCTTGCATGGAGTTTATCCATAGAGAATGCTACTTTTCATTTCTACCTTTTTTTGTTTTAATATTTACAAGTCAAGTAACTCGTGGCAATGAACTGCACGGCATAATGGACTCCAACGGATTTCACCCCCACCTACTCCTCCTCCATTTGTCATATTTATTTTCCCCTATTTTTGTGAGAAATATTTACACACATAACCCTAGACAACAATGACACACAGAAGTGAATATCCCCACAGAAGTTATGTAATAAAACACGAGGGTGTTTTTGTCACAACTAGACACGTGACATATGCATATGGCTCGAACATGGCAAAGGAGCATACGTAAATGTATATTGTGTATGTTTCATATGCCTAAGGCGATTATATATTTTTTTCGTTTCTTGCAATGAAACCTACTCCGGTCTAAGATTCCTTTATTGGTGTGGGAGATGAAAGGGATACCTTTACATGTGTGTAATATGTTTTAACATATGTACGTAGGATACTCTCCTTGTAATTGTAAAATATTAGAGTGGTTTCCTGTGGGAAGAAACCCTGGAAACATTCTCCAGTTCCAAATGAAAGGGTCCAATGACTAAGACCCTAAAAAGGATTACTCCCAAAAGTTTGTTTCTTAGAAGTAGTTTGGAATTATGTTACTATGGGACATTGTAGACCGGATGAAGAACTAAGAAACCTTAGGTTAAGGGTAATCATTTATGAACTACATACTGTAAATAATTAGTCTTAATCAGTCTTAATCTTAATTAAGATTCTTGGTGCGTTGATAGTAATAAACAAAGGTTATTTTTATAAAAAACAACAATATGGGAGCCTGACAATTTTGCAACAACAAAATACTACGGAATCCCGAACAAACATGCCAACACTGGTATGGAAAAATTATTTAATAAACGCTATGGAAAATTTGAATTGGTGCCGACGGCATTGTGGGGGAGTTGCCGAAAACCCAACAGGTATTTATAATTCTTATTAATAGATCAGACAATTTATGACTTATTTTTGTCTTATATTTTTTTAGTTTCTAGGCTAACAGCAACTTTGAATCACAGTTTATGATTTGGATTACAAAAATACATCTGTTTTTCTCTGTTAATCTGTCTACAATATAATGGAAACATTTTCCTCGCCTAATGAAAATTAAAGTCCAGCAGAGAAATTTATTTTATCCACGTCTAGCAAAAAGATAAATTTGAATTATTATTTCATTATTCTCTTTATTATATATTCATCATGATTTGCTTGCTTATTATTTATAATTATCATCACACATAAACTAAATAACTTGAGGCACCCCGGCGACGGGCTTAAGATATGCTTATATTCACGCATCTACACAATCACCAGGTTGGTGTATATTGGCCCCCCAATGTAATGTGGAACAGCAATACTAACAACTGTGATTTTATGTAGATATAAATGCTTGCTGGCATATTTCTCAGAGGCATAAATGACGGAGGCACAAAATCCTACAACTCATTTGTAAAAAAAAACAAGTAGATTACATACGACCGGCAAATGAATGTGGAAGAAGAATCCATCGCAGTCATTTTTATTGTGTGTGTGTGTGCGGACAAACGGCCTCAACAACTGAGATATCATTATGGGAGGGAATGAAAACACATCAAGAGGAGAATAATATAGAATGTAGATTGCTTTGGCAGCAAGCAACAAAATCCGAGGCAACGACACCTTACTAATGGTGGCACATGAAGAGGAGGCAAACAATACCAATTTCTAAAGGATCTCAGCTGTTGGAATGTTTGGGCGATACATTTACATACATGAATGCGTGTATGTATGTTTCTATGGGATGGTATTTAAAGCAAGAAAATTGCGACAAACAGCAAATGTGATTTCCTTTAAGCGGCATCTCTAAGAAGTGTGGAGAGTTAACAGATATGTAACACGGATTCAAAATAAATTGGGTCTGAATTTTACAGACCAAAATTATTTACAGAATATTAGCGTTAAAAAGACGTGATATCAGATCAGAAGTAGCAGATTCTCTATATAACAAAATGTTCGCTTGTAGAGAATTTCCAATCATTAAATTGCCCGGTTATGAATGAACAAAGATAAGTCACAAAACAAATAAAAATAAGGAGATGAGGGAGGGTAGGCAGTAAGAACAGAAGTTGATAAAGACACCTTGTTGACCTCTTACAAAGCGATAGGCCGGTCTACGTTAAACTATGTGGTCCGCCAACGTAAGAAAAGACCTTTATAATTTTGAGATAGGGGCACGGAGATATCAGTAAGAGGCTCTAGATCAACAGGCCTCTCAAGCAGAACTGAATATAATACACTCTGATGCGGTTACAGCAATTATAGCAGAATACTAGTAATTATGAAGTTTGGATGGCCTCTATTCATAATGGTCTTGAATTGACAGCAATGCGTAGAACACCTGGCGAGCCTGTGGCACAGGTCCCCATGGCGCGCTGAACCTCTGAACTACCCAGCCAAACCTAGTCACCTAACTCCTGTATCGCTATGGACCCAAACAACACAGGTTGCTTCCTTTTTGTACTTGGAGGTAGAAGCACAGCCAGATTATAGAAGATACATAGTCAGAACGAACACAGCAGTACGAACTGCTAAAACAAAATAGCCTGTGGATCATCCGTTATTGAATGGAAGTTGTGCTGCTATACAAAGACTCCAAATTTATTAACTTTAACAAGTAAAAAGCAGTAAGTTCGGTCGGGAAGAACTTTGAATAACCTCCACCAATTTAAAATTTTTTTAAAAAAATAAGATCCGTTAAAAATTCTGTAAAATGTTAAAAATACCGAATATAGCCGTTCTATTGGGGTCTATACGAAGACCTGGACCTGCATAGACAATTTTTGTCATAAGCCATTGCAATATTTATGTCCGAAACTTAAAAAAAATCCGGTGAATATTTTAGATAAAATCGTCAAAGGGAGGTACTGATATATGGGGCCTATACGAAGATCTGGACCTGCATACGCAATTTTTTGTCATAGGCACACATTACGAATTCTAAATACGAAATTTGAAACAACTCCGGTGAATAATGTTCCTTAAATGGCAAAATATCGAATATCGGGGTTACCGTTATATATGTGCTATAAGTTATCGTGGACCTATAAAGCCATAGAGTGCTTAGAAAGAGCAAAATGCGGAATAGAAGAAGGTGCTGTTACATGGGGGCTATACGATATCGTGGACCGATACAGCCGATCTTTGAACTTAACCTTGACAGATCTGTGGAAAATTTTAGCTTCCTATATGTATTCGTTTTGACTGACGGATAGGGCTAAATCGTCTTAGAATTTTACCCTGACCAAGAATATATACTTTGTAATTTTTAAAATTATTATTACGATGAGTTACAAACGGAATGATGAACCTGATATACCCTTCATACTATGTATGGTGGAGGGTATAAAAAATAATATAAGTAAAAATGACGATATTTTTAATTTACTTTTTTTAATTTCATTTCAATATTTATTCTCCTTTAAAATTTCCTTGCAAAACTTTAATTTCTATCATTAAGATTTAATCTATGACTAAGAAAATCAATGCTTCAATTACATCCTTGGCCTTGCTACGGATGTCAATACTTCAAATCTTCAACGAAATTGTTTGAGTGTTTGGAGGATAAAAGTATTTTTAAATGTCCTTAGCCTGTTGCCTGTCAATTGAATACGTGTGTGTGTGTGCATGTATGTGTGATGAGATTCCTTAAATTGGTTTCATTGCGAAATTATCCTTGATCATGACATGTTGCATATATACACACACACAAACACTTGTGTGAACTTTATAACACCACGGAAGTTTAGCAAGAAATGTATATCTTTTCTTCGATACTTAAATTGAAAATATTGCAACTTGCTTAACACAACGCAAGGAGGAACACACACACACACTCAAAGACATGTATATTCATAAACTTGGACCTGATATCCGGCTATGGCAATATTTTATTTTAGATTCCACACTCTCGCTTACTCACACACACTCACACACAGACAGACACACATAAATTCACTCTCTCATAAACAAACAATGAATTCCTTTTTCCTACGAACAAGGACACCGTTATTTTTTTATAACCGTTACCTTGCACTTGATAATTGAAAATTGTTCTACATACTTTACGACGACAACGACTTAGGACCAAGGTGAGGTGATAGTGGCAGAACGGGGCGGCGCGGTGTCGGCAGCAGCGAAGGAAGACGACGACGACGACGAGAATGATGGCTGTGTTACATTACAACACAGCAGAACTTTGCAGAACACAAAATAGCAAAAATTCCAACACTAATAATAATAAATTTCTTCCGATATGCGATTGTATGGCAGCAGGGTATGTGTAGATTTAAGGTCGCAAAAAAGCGGAACTTTTTTTTTGCCTTCTCCTTTATTTTGCATTTCGATTTAAAGTCTTTGGGGGTCTCGATTTTTACATGCCATGTAGAGGACAACCCTGGTGGAAGGAGATAGACTTCCGTCTCTGGCAAACAAAAAAAATATTTCAATACACTTGAGTCTTGTTCTGTTTCTACCCAGGATAAGGTAAAAACACTTGCTTTTTGGTATTACTGAGATAAGGTAACATTGGATATGGGAACCAAAAAAAAAAAAAAACAAGAAAGAACACAAAGAGATTGAATAGCTGATATAAACAAAATTTAAATACAATTTTTTGGCAAAGTAATTGCTTGGAT